AAAAATACAATTTCAGTCATTTTACTTCAAATTGTCATGCTTAAGTCAATGTATTACTTGCAGTTTCATTGCAATTATTTGTGAAATTAAATAGCAACTGTGAAATTGTCAAAGCAAATTCTACACCAAATGTATTCTTAAAAAATATAAATGTTTATGTATTTTTAATTGCATGTCACATTATTTTACAGAAGCTAAACTTTATGATAGTAATGAATTTCATTATTTTCAAGCTATTAGCTTAGCATAGCTCTAACTGATTATAAAGAGCTCTTTTGGCTATATATATGTTTTACGTTGTTTCTAACTTGCATGCTTATTTGTTTTTTCCATTGAACACAAAAAGTGATTAAAGTGTCTTCACATAGATGCAGAAGTACAAAAAAGGTGGTTTCAAGCTGCATCTTTTGAGATTTTCGTTACAAAAAAAAAAACAAGCTGAACACACTATCTCTTAAACAGCTGTGAATCCTCGGCCAAGTCATAGCACACTCTGATCATATTTTCCCCTCGGTCGCAGTTCCAGGTTCACACCTGCATAAGCAATCTGCAAAGGCTAGAAACAGATGGTCCAACATGAGGTATGCTCCTTGTTCAGACCTAGTAGCTCATCTCCAACGACAAAACAAATCTTACAAAAATGTTCATTTACTTGCAACTGAAATGTGTATCTGCGCCTTCTTGAACGACCAGCCTACAAACTGTTTATTTATAGGTATCTCTACAAATGTGAACAAGTTTTAAGCAGTGACAATCATGAAAATAATGAGCGATGCGTAACTTACATTTACATTTAGTCATTTAGAAGACGCTTTTATCCAAAGCGACTTACAAATGAGGACAAAGGAAGCAATCAAAATCAGCAAAAGAACAATGATACACAAGTGCTATAACAAGTCTTAGTTAGCTTAACGTAGTGCACGTAGCAAGATGTTTTTAAAATCATATAATAAATAAAAAGAAAACAGATAGAATTCAAAAAGAATTGAGAAGCCATTGTTCGTTTTTTTTTTAAACTGAAAACAAGCAGTTAGTAAATGAATAGAGTATTTTCTAAAAGTCTAAAAGGGGCAAGTTTTTTTTATAGAATAGAATTAGAATAGAGAGTGCTAGAATTAGGGGGTCAAATAAAGATGGAAGAGGGACCTCATTTTTAAAATTGTTCAGTAAACAAGAAGTTATATTTACGTAACTGGGTAAAAAAAAATTTAATTGTATTTTAGACACATTATTGCCAATTACTTTCAATGAAAATTGTTCCAAACAAAGCCAAATGAGATACTGTTGCAAATTATTAATTGACTCACTCAGTAATTCAAAACAGTACTTTACAGTAATTAACAGTACTCAAAACAGTAATTTATCACCACCTACTGGTGTAGCAATGCAACCTGCAGAAAGAGACACTAAAAGGTGTCCCTCAAGGATGTCATGAACAAATGAATGGAGAAAAAAACTCCACCTATTTGTTATTCTGTGACAAAAAGACATTTAATTTCAACAAGATGATCACACTTACTAAAAATGTATTGATCAGAGTTATTCAGCTTGATTTTTCCATCCACTTAATGTCTAACACATGTCCTCGAAGGAACAATAATTTGGATTCCTTATGTCATGCTGGACTTCTGGCCAGAGATCCCTAAATCCATGCCACATCTCACAGGGCTGGCTAAGCCTGGATACTTCCTTGGCCAAGAGTGACAAGATATGTTTCCCAATTCACAAACAGTACTTGCAAAGAACTTTTGCAAAAGAACATGAACGTGCATATGAAATCTCTTCATAATGATATCTTAATAGTTTAGGGAAAAATGTTAAAACTTATCTGATACGACTGAATGACTTTACACTATAGTTCTAAGGTGGAAATAAATGTCCATTTACAAAAATGTGTTTCACTAGTGGTGTTTTTTTGGGTTTCAAAACCTACTTAAAAACCTAAATTAGAGTTATTTTGTAAATTCAGTCCTCTAAACTTAACTTACAATATCATAATATTTTGCTATAGCTGTTGAGTTAGCAAGTGAAATTAGAACACCATAAAACCACACTGACTTAAATTCAGACCAGAGTCAAATATATGCTAAAGATTTTAACTGAAAAGTTGAGCTGTGTTCTCAGGACAAGGGTATTTTTCTTAAATGTCAAGTCAGGGTAAATTGTCACACATTTCTTAAGCCAAGTTGTGAATTGTTTGAACATTTATTCAGTTTATTAGATCCTATACTATTAACATTTAACAAAGGTTTCATATTGTTGTTGTTCACTTTTTACATTTTGCTTTTCATTGTTTCGATGATTGGTTTATTAAACAATTAAAACTTTGCCGAAAAACCTATGATAATTTCCAAATACAGAGTGTGACAACTAACCCTAGTGTACTTTATATCCAATATTATACAGTATGTATATATCAGTGGTGCTCTGAAATGAGGAGGCAATGTCCTCCAATTATTATTATTATTTTTTTTTTTTTTATCAAATGGAAATTCATGTTCCAGTCACATTTTCCTGGTTAAATAAACATTATTTACACTATCAGGAAAAGAAAAAAAAAATTCTATATTATATTTTTTACATTAACAATGTAATCAATATTCTATTTGTTAAAGCCAAGTATGAATCTCATCAAGTTAGTGTTTTTAAGCATTTTACATTTATTCCAAAATGATAACTGAAGGCAGTAACAATTGAAACAATTTATTTTATTCATGAACTTCAGCTTTTTATTTTAGTAGTTAACTTTTAACTATTTTTTAATTTTGTTGCATCAGTCATCCAAGCTCGGTAAATTTTGGTCACAGACACAGAGATTTACTTTAAATTTCACCAAGCTGATTACTCACTAAAAACTCCCTCAGATCACGTTCAGGCGATTTCAAGTCTTATTTTGACATAATAAAGTAGATATATCTAAGTATCTAACTCACCGCACACTTTGGAGGTCTGTTTAAACTCAATGGGCTCAGGGGAGGCAAGACAGACGCAGGCTCCCACTGTAACTTTACCTGCTAGTGTTGCTTTTGGACAGTATTTCTTTCGGAAAATGAATAATTTATAATATTAGTGTTATATTTTAAAATATTTACATTCTTTTATTTTCATACTACAAATTCTTGTCATCCAAAAGTTTGAGGGGACACTGCTTCCATTGCCTCCTTGGAGGAAACGCCATTGTGTGTGTGTGTGTGTATATATATATATATATATATATACACACACACACACTCCTAAGTGGGTGAATTTGCTAAGGTAGCGATTTCCTTTTGGAATTATCACAGCAGTCAGCAGAATTCCTTCCCTAGGCTGTTTAATATGAATGTATTTCTTGTCTGGCTGCCCTGGTGTGTAGGTTGTAACCTTACGTTCTCTTCCAAAACACACACATATACAAACAAACACAACTTCAATGTTATTCAGCATAAGCATCTGCAAATACTCTCTCCATCTAGAGGAAAGGTTAGAACATAAACTAAAAAGCCACAAAAGTCATTTCCGCAGAACACCTACAGGTGTTTTGGGTTATAAATCTGGAGGTTATAAAACTTCCTAACTTATATTTCTATGATTTACATGGACTCATTTAAACAATCTATCTGCATATAGGCAAAAAATCATTTATAATTTGCTTTACACAAACACCAATATACCCAAACTTGCATTTTATGTTCAACATAAAAACAAAGCAAAAACCACAAGAAGTTCATTTCACAGTGCTTAAACCTATTAGCAAAGCTTTTGACAGTTGCTTTCATCATAATCAACTCTCTTGATTGAAACATCTGTGTTTACCACTGGGCAGCAAATTTGACATAGTTTCCAACATTACGAGCAACCGTACAGTGGGTGGAAGAATTCAGAGATGAGATGCTAAGCAATTGCTGAAAATGAGCCCATTAACTATGGCACATTTACCTCTCAGGCTATATATTTTGCAGGCTCATCATAGCCCTCTGACTAACACTGGGGCTAGCAGAGAAGAGGAAGAAATAGGATCAGAATTTCAAAAGATTCCTGTGCTGTACAACATCTCTAACCTGAGGCGAAAATTTAGCATGCTGTTCTTATTAGACAACATTCCTTCAGCTCACATCAAAGACAGATTCAGCAGATATTGTCTCGCAGTCGAGCGTGCAGAATTACACAGGATTGCTGCGTACAGCAAAGAGAAATGTGAATGGAATACTTCAAGCTTTAGTAAACCTTGCTTAGTATGTGGCTTACAGTACTGTACTTCCACTGAGTTGTATCTTCATACAGATGTTTATACTACTGCCGTTTTATAGCTCAGGAGAATTAAGTTGCAAGTACAAATTTGGCCCCAATTTGGCCTTTTCTTTCAAAAGGGGAATAAAAACTTAATTTAAAAGCAAACAACCACAAATAGCCAAATTCTCTCAAAAGTCACAGCAGGTCACCATGTTTATAAGCAATTCCCACTGGCCTCAACAGCATTCCATATATGATAAAATGTGCCAAATATGTAGAGTGGTTTAATTGTTAAGATATTGACTGGAATGCTCTGTTCAAAAACTCTAACAAGCATTCAGCATCTTTTGGTGATTTATGGGCAAATAAACCCCACTGACGTGCCCTATTATTTGTAAGTGAAATGAAAGACTCTTGACAAACATTATCTTACTGAGCAGTAAATCAAATCATTTGCCAATTTTCCTGCATAGCATCATTCATATGGCCTCGACACACACACTACAACAGTGTGAGTATTCTTTGCGGCCAAATTTAAGTTAGCACTAATGACTAAACAGGTACAAAATCTGTCACTGGGGTGGTACTTTCAAAAGACACTAAAATGTACACATTTGGTATTAATATGCATCCTTTAAGGGTAATAATGTACCTTCTCAAAGGGTATTGTGCAAGTGACACCTCTTGTATCATTTTTTATGAGAATGTATCATTGGCCTGCTAACATTGTTCCACAAATCATAAGTGGAATGGATTGACCAGGGTTTTTGGAAAACAGCTTTGCTTGCCTCAAAAACTTCCTCGTCCAGGATTCTGGTCCCGAAGACAGTGATGCCATCGGTGTTAATGATTGCATGGTCACTTCTGCTGAGTGGTTTAGAGATCTTCTTCTTACAGTCCACAATCATTGTGACGGTCTTCTTTTCTATGCTAATAGCCACACGGTGCCACCTATCGGTTGGGAGGAAATTTTGTGGGAAAGACAACAAAGAAGAACCATGAAGTTTGTGAGAATGATATATGTTTACTTTCCCTTGCATAACCAAAACTCATACAGTGAGAAAAACAACTGCCTTGTATTAGTACAGGATGTTCCTAAATGAAATAATTTAAATGGAACAGACAAACAGCATTCTCTCTCAATCCATGTGCATTTCAAAAGGCGTTTTACTGAGCGCCGCCTCTCATATTGACTCAATTATAAATATTTCACAAGCTGGTTTTTGTTTAACGCCATGTTTTTTCAAATTGAAAAAAAAAAAAGTTTTTCATTACATCAATTGTGAGAATACGCAAATTGTTTTATCACATGTAAACCTCAATGTGGCTAATCAAAAGCACAGAAGCTTACTGCCGTTCTCGTTTCTTATAAAGTAAATGTTTGCTTTGCTAAATTAGTTACATATGGCTGTGCATTCATAGTTTTCCTAATTTAATTATATCTATATAGATAAATAAATGAATAAGCAGATGGAAAATACAACCAATAATAAAATAAACTAAACTGGTCACTAGGAAAAATTTATAAGCAAATTGCATAACTTATCCAAACACTTTCAATGGCCAGTTGATGAAAACTGTACTACAGCTTGTTCAAAAAGATGTTAAGGCCCATTAAAATAAGACTACTTCTGAAATTGATGTATTATATTGTACTACTTCAGACATTCAATCTGTTTAGACCCAAAACCTTCACAAAGATAAAAAATATATACAAATAAAGAGTCAACTTGCTTTCCATCTGCAAGGTTAATGGCACGGAAAAGGGGGTAATCCTCAGGAGCGGGCTTCCCATGCTGATCCTCATACAGGAAGACCGGCGCGCGGCCCACCTCCACACCCAGCTGCTGGATGCCCTGCTCGTTGTATACCGACAAAAGGAAGGACTGTACTCCCGCCTTTGGTTTGATCGTCATAAGGATGGAGAAATCCTGAGGGAATACTCCTCCTGAAGACACAGGAAAGGCATTGTGGGTTAAACATCAGCTGTTATTGATGATTCATTTGCTTGTCTTCCTTTCCATGATGTTGATGAGCTACAATACTACAGAATATCAGACAATACTGTGATCTAAATGGCCTTGTAATATGCAGTAGCCCTTTTACAACAACTCAGTAGTCCCCACATCGTTTGTAGGGGATGGTTTAATGAAGTATGAAACGGTTTGTCTTTTCTGTTGCCACATTAACTTTACAAGGTGTCAGATGACATAACAGATTTACAATTAAACGGGTTGTACGAGCACTGGAGTGGAACTAAAGCTCAAACTGTCTATCTCTGAAGTGCTGTTCACTTTGCCAACCTTGAAGGAGATTTTTTTTTCTGCCAACATACTATTTTGCTAAAATTTTCAGTCCTAAAATCATACGGTTTGGAGCCGATTTGATTTTAGCCCAAAATCACAGAAAACGAATTGTTAATTTAATCTCCTGCTGTTTGTGCTTCAGTTACCCTTTGCAGTCTGGCCAATTTGGAAGATAACCAACACACACAGAACAGAAGGTCCAAGTTAATGGGACTAAACTAGTAAATGTAAATGATGTTGTTGTTATAGACAGAGCAAATAATTAGAGATTTCAACATCCCATACTCAAAACTGTGCTAACCATGGACTTGCAGGAAATATATGACACACTGCCTGGTTTTGTGAATAATTAGCATTACTATGACAAATAACCCTTATTGCAAACAATATGTAATAGTTCATTATCTGTGATGCTACAAACAACATATTAGTTTATGTTACAGGACTAACAGCAGCAAAAGTTAACATCAGTTTGGATCTTTCTAAGTATTTGTTTAGCTAGTCATGGATGAATTAGCACGAAACGCTCTGGTCAAAAGCTACCAACCCAGGCTCATTGGGAAAAGTGCAGGTGGTGACACTTCTGCAAAGTGACTTTGCTTCTTGCACGCTTCCAAAGTGAACTGTCCAGTAAGTGGCACTAAATGTGTGTTCGGTTTTATTTGAAACAGATGTGAATGTGAATGTGAATTTCGCTACATTTTATTATGTTGGTTGCTGTCACTACTGTGGCAGTTCAGAAATGAAATATCCAGTGAGTGGAGCTAAAAGGTTAAAGCTCTTTGAGCTTTTTAACTGTTTCACAGGACTTGTACCCAAGTGCTCTGCATCACAAGTGCAAGACTGTACCAGGTGAGCTACCGAGCAAGTTTACTACCTCAGAAAAGCCATACATATGGAGCTGATTATATAATGCAAATGTCAAAATGGATCAGTTTACAAATCATGCACTATGGTAACAGTGTTCTAGGGTCATAACAGTATTGTGCAAGTAACTGCACAAAAAAGTAATAAATGTTAGTGCTTTTATTTTCACTTGTGTTTATTTCAGCTGGAACTGCAGTGAATTGTATGTATAGATTAATTTTTGGAGTTTTGCTAAAACGTGGGTAGAGGCACGTTTTTCCAGTGAGCCTATGTAGGTCAAAACAGTAGCCAATGAGCTTTCTTTCTTTCTTAATGGACTCTTTCTTGAAACAATAAACATGGCTTTAATTCCTTCATCAAGGTCTGGGCATCAGACTTCTAGCACTGTAAACAGTCCAAATGCATTTAACTGAGACGGTCAAGCTACATTATGTACTTCCTGTTGAATGCATTTCAAAGAGAAGAAAGAAACAACTTAAAATGTCACTTTCCAAGAGAAAACCAATTACACAACATTTAGAGGTGATTTACAGCCTTGCCCAAGCAGAACATTTGCTGTATTTAAGAGTAAGTAGGGATGAGGGTGCATAGATTAGCTTAATTCACGTACCTGGGAAGAGCTGCTTGGTTGGAGTACTGAGTTGAGCCTGTTTGTCCACTCGGTAGGCCACATCTGGTTTGGATCCTCTCCGGATGGTGCAGAAGCCTTGTGTTTTCTTCACTCCTTCTGGTGAACTTTTAAAATCTAAGACCTTGAGCACATCCACCGGTTCAGCTGTGAGGCAGAACATTGGTTGCTATGATCAAAGCGTTTGTCATTTTCATAATTTCACTGGTAAGCAAACATTATTAGCTTCAATAGCTTTGCTACATCAAATCAAAACAATATTTGTTCAGTTATTTCCATTCATACATCTAATTTAACTAAAGACAATAATTCTGTTAGCAAGCAGCTAGATTAGAAATCAGGAAAAGTCTATGAGGGAAAAATTAAGCAGCACCATCCAAAGATACCTTTCATTTGTCATATAGATGAGAACAGTGATGAAACTACAGTTGTCGGAAAAAACTTGTGAAACGGAAATAAATGTCCAGCCATTTAATCTTCACAATTGCTTCCAAGTACAGTTGGGTTATTATGTAATTTTATTGCACTATCCAAGTTTAAAAACAAGTAGTCAGTATTGTTAATGTTTCTCTTACGCAACAGGGCTTATTTTACCTTATCCTGCCTTGAATGGTGTGGAGTGAGTATATCTACAGTCAATTATCATTCAGCAAGTGAGGACATTTATGGGCCACATCTTGCCATTTGTTGATATGGACATGAACAAACAAATTCCCATGAAATGTGTATCCCCCTTGTTGGTGCCACACTGTGTCATTTCGCAACAGTGCTAACTCTGACTGACGGTTTTATTGTACCTAATTCCCCGCCATTGCATGTGTGCTGTGGCCGTTCAATGAAGCAATTGTACTTTTACAAGGAACCTGAGCAGCATAGCAGTAAAGATGTGAAGAAATATCCAGTAGGGATAATTGACCCCCCTAGATGCAGATCCATCTACAAAGCCAAACATTCCAGGAGCTAAAGTCACTGGTGCTGATCACTACCCTTCTACGGTTATGGCAGCTCAGCATGACCAAGACTTTACAAGACACTCAGCTCCACCAATATGTCAGGTACTACACTTCATCATGTTGCTACTACCAATGTCATATATGAAAGGTTCTGGTTTCGCTCAGCCTGCACCCCACGGATGGCTCATTTCTAATGATCCTTAACAAATCTATGCTAATGCTTAAACAGGCTGAGAGATTTATGATATGATTAATATGGCAATTTAGAGGCTGGTACTGTAAAGTGGACTCTGAGCAGCACTGTAATGTCACACTGATTTATTGTTCTGCTCAAGTCTTTTAGGCTTCGTCTTTGATGCCGTGAAAAGGAAAAGTTCCGGCCTCACTTGAGACTGATGAATGAAGATGTACGCAAGGTCAGGGAGATAAGAGTATCAGCTGGGTTACTTACATCCATCACTATCCGTACACAACTTTGTGTCCTTTAGACACATCTGTTTGGCATCACCACTGCGAATGTTGTGGTTAAGGATGCCTTGAGTTGTGTGAAGTCTCTGATTCTCAGGAGGTTTAAGGGAATAGAAACAGAGGCTGAATGGATGACTAGCACATAAATACTCCTATTCTGACTCCCCCGCTACCAGAGACTACAAAAACAAAAAGTCATGTCAAATGGACATATTTGTCTGCTGGTCAGGCTGCAGACAGGAAGTATCTCTTTCAAAGGCCTAAAAACAATAAACCATATAAACAGAATGACTAGTTGCTAAGACTCATTACTCTCTCTCTCAGGACTCAGTGTTGGATCCAAACCAGGGTTTTATTTTCATATGCTTTGACATCACAAAAAGGCTCATTTTCCACCCTGTCCCACTCAACGAAGGCTGGGAAACCACTTTAGAAGAATTATACTGAAGTCTTTTGATAGATCAGCCCTATAACACTGCGCATAAGGAACAATAAAACCAGCAGAACCTTTATAAAATATGAAGGACGATGAGCTGCATTTGTTAAAAATAGAATCTGGGGAAAAGTCACTCAGACGCCTGGTCATCACAATTACACTGAATTATATTTTAAGGTCAAGAGCAGAACAAAAAAAAAAAAATCTGAGAGTTCTTCTTTTGCTACAGTAGTTCATGTAAAAAAAAAAAAAAAACATTTGACTTTATTATTATTATTTTCTGTAACCATATGGTAAGAGCATGCAGGAAGTGCTGATCTGGTAGTTCCTGTTCCACATATGTGGCCAGGAGCTGAAGGGTGGTGCTTTTTTAGGGTTAGTGCACATGCTGAACACATTATGGTGTCGGCATGGTATAGCCTGCAGATAACTTTGACTCAGTGTACCACCAACCAAGTCCTAATGCACTGAAAGCACAAATTTATTGTTATTCTACTCTGGGACTAAGAAATAGGGACTATGTTTAAGAGCAAATTATGTTGTTCAAAAGCTTGGGGTCAGTAAAATTTTACTTAAAGATAAATATTAAAATTAGATATTATATAAAAAAAAAAATTTTAATACTTTTAATCAGCAAGGATATATTAAAATGATTTAAATTGTTACAAAGTATTTATATTTCAAATAAATGCTGTTCTTTCTATTGATTAAAGAATCCTGACCATTTTTAAGTTATAAGAGAAGTGATAACTGATAATAAAAAGTGATAATATGATAAGAAAAGTTTTTTTTTTTTTTTTTAAGCAGTGAAGAATATCTCTTTCGAGATACAAAAACAGCCACGTTGAGAAAAAAAAAATCTGTGAATACACCATCTATGCACATTTCATTCTTCTGCACTTCATAAAAGACAAAAAACATTCTATAATATATATATATATATATATATATATATATATATATATATATACACATGCATATATATTTTTTAAATTCACAGTAATACAGTTTACTGTAATAAATAAATAACATGAAAAATTCGTACTGACCGCAAACTTTTGAACAATAGTGTAATGTTTAGAGTAATCTGTATTGCCCAAAACAATTTTCCTTTAAGACGGACAAATAAACATTATACAGTATTATACAGTATACATTTTTGTATAGTATATAAATCATTTTTAGGATTTTTTAAATGTCACCAAAAATCTGCAGTATTTGCCTAGAACAGCTTCATTTTCTTGATAAAATTAAAACAGCTGCACACAATAAAGCCCAGCGTGTCTACGTCTGTGTGCACGTTTGTGAGCTTGATGCGGTGAGGTTCTTAATGTAGCTTTGTCAAATCAGTCTGTTGAGAGTTTCCATTCAGCGTAACCCCCACTGACAAAACAAAGAGCAGCCCTCTGCATTGTCATTCTAAATGAGATGCAAAAACAGAATAAAAGGCACCCAAACTCTTAAAGGAGAGGGTAATAATCTGTAACTTTTACGAGTCTCTTCCAAAATGCAGTGCTACTGTTTTTTTTTCTTTTCTAAACACTAAACTAAAGGTCTCTTTGTGCTCTTCAGAATGCCTCTCAGCATTACTGCATACCTAAAGGCCTCATATATTCCAGATGTGGAGAATTGGCAGGAACAGGACCCCCCTCTCACAGAAGCTCTTAAAAGAATATCAGCATCCAAAACCCATTAAAGCAGCAAATAAGCACATTGCTCCTAATGCACATCCACAGTTAAAAGCACTGGATACATTTTTTCTTCTTCTTTGTATTTTCCAGATATTCTCTCTGGGAGAGCCAGTGTCATGGATAATGTCATGGTAGATTTTTCACAATAAAATATGGCAAAAGTATTTAGCAGAAAAGAATTTATCATCTGCGTAATTCAGCCTCTAATATGACTTCAAACCTTGAAGAAATCTGGCAGAAATGTCAATGCTGTCAAATACACAAGAGACACAATATCAACTGATCAGGCAAGAAAAATCATAACATTCAAACTGATCCAACAGTCAATAAAATCCCAGTACAAGACATTAGCCCTATCCGTTCTATGACGTAAAAAACAACTGCAAAAAAAAAAAAAAAAGGCCCCTGTATCCTCACTGGTTGAATCATTGAATATCTGAGCAGGTGTGGCCAATATCTCATGTGGACTTTGTGAACTGCTGTAGGAGATATTTTATATAGATTTCAATTCTATCTAAAAACAAGAGCCAAAAGGTAGCTTTCATGCATGGAATTTAGTTGTGGTCAAGATTCGTATTAAACCAAAAATGTGGAAACTCACTTTCAAAATGTGCAATGTGGTGAAGACATTATCAGGCAGCCATTTTGAAAGAGGTATGTTATATATCTGAAATGGCCATCAGAACAGTAACAAAGGAATATAATCTTTCTCATTTTACAGAGTAATTATTATATTTTGTATTAGCTTAAAGCAGGAGAGACCAGGCTCTTTGAAAGCTTACTAGAAAGACAGTATACAAAAAAATATTTGTTTCCTATTTGTGATCCTCATACAGTATACAGGTGAGTCAGAAAGAAGATGCCCTAATGTAGCCTATTACTTAAAGTAGCCTATACAGGAAGACTAAATGTATAAATGATGGATAGGGCCACTTTAAAACACTCAAGTGTCCACTTTTAAAGGTAGACAATGTGTCCAAGTCAGAAAGCACTTCTACAGTAGCTTTCTGACAGTTGATGGGTCTTTAGTGTGGACTGGGATAGTGTGGAGAAACGGTATCGCTCTCTGTCTGAGCAATACAATTTCCTAAACTAATTCTGGGCACTCGAGTGCCTCACTGGTGTGTGCAGGGTAGTGCAGGTACCATGAATGCTGTCTCATCAACAGGTCAAATATAACAGACATGAACCTTTCTGCTATTTATTGAACCACTCTATTTTTGGGAAATAACCAATTGTTTTGTATATGTAAACCTTTGAAGATCAGGGTCACCAGTGATATTGTAACTGGTATTTAAAATGTATTTATACAAATATAATATTTCCATATATTTAATTTAACAACATTAACATACTTATATAGAAGCTACAAGCTTATATAGAAATACTTAAAATATTTGTCTTGGTAGACTCTTCCAATCTAAATGTCAAATGCAGCCTCTTGTAGCTATAAGACATGAATATATCTATAAATAAAATATTCATATATACTTTTCAAAAATAAAATGCTGGGTATGTCGTTATTGAAACAATGGCATTATTAACAGCCAGAACATACGACACAAAGATTTTTCTCATCAAGCTACATTTTGGGCATTATTATTAAATATAATTTAAAATATTCGTTATCGAGATTGAGGTTTAGAAATGCCTTGTAGTTCGTAACGAGCCTATGATGGCCATAAATGCTGTCTAGGTAGGCAGCTCACTAGGTTTTGAAACAGCCAATAAATTTGCAATATATACATGCTAATTTTATAATATTCTGACAGCGAAATTCACTACAAATTTTAAGTAATATATTTAACTATATACAGGTTTATACTGAAGGCTGGCATCACTGGAATGCTCGTGACGATGCTCCTCAACCTTTTCCTTACCTGCTCTCACATGTGTTGCCTGTAGGACAAAAGTCAGACTGAAGATTGCACTTAAAGCGGAGTTCCTAAACCAGTTTTTCGTTTTCCATCTCGTGGACCACCTTTCCTTATCCTTATCCATGACCGGCGCCCTCAACTGTATCTTATTTTCAAATTCGTTCCTTTTTCCACAATCCAGATTATTTTTATTTATTTCTGCACTGCCATGAGCGAAAAAAATCAATTGGTTCTCGTCGTGAACAAACTCCTCAGTCCCTCCGCCCAGTAGACTCTCAGACTGAAGGTAAACGGGCTCTCCTGAAAAAAAGAAAACCGGTTTGTTCCCTGAAGAGCGCAAGTCTTTTGGAGGGTTGGACGTGTGGACTAAACCTGACCCGTGAGGAAAAAGAAATGAACACGGGGAAATCACTAGTCTTGGAAAGATCCGCCCATTATTTTTGAGAGCTTCAAAAGTTTGACACCGTTCACCCCGAAAACTCAGAGCAAAGGTGTATCTACTCTGAGGGATCATACAACACCGGGATGATGCTGGGACACCGGTTTACCGGAGGAGAGACTCACATAACCCGGATTATCATCCCGCATCCTAAATGAGTGATATAGGACCGGATAAGGACTAGTTTACTTTCTTTTGTTACTTTACACATTTGTAGACCACCACTTGGAAATGTTGTTATATTATTTATTATTATTATTTTTTATTTTTTTGCATATTTTGTTGAATTTCCAGCTGTCTGTAATTTCCACTGCAGACCTGATGAAATGGCATTTTGCTCCACTATTTACATTCTTAAATTACATTTTTTTGGAATCTCTGGGTCCATGAAAAACCTTTAACTTCCATATAATCTTTCTATTACGCAAAAAGTCTTTAAAGTGGAAAAAATGTCTTTAGATTATTAAAAAGTTCTTCACACTCAGAAAAAAAATGGTTCACTGAAAAGTTTTTTGGGAACCTAAAATTGTTCGTCTATGGCATTCGCTCAAAAAAAAAAAAAAAAAGCTTTTGGAAACACCATTTTTGAGTGGAAATGGCTGGAATGACACTAAAATTAAATTGGTGTGATGGCACACACAAGTACTATAGTCAAACCAGGCAGAATTTAGCTCAGAAAAATGTTCTTTTAAAGAGGCAAACCAAATGTTGGCCTGAAGTAGCCCATTTAAAAGTCCACAAGAAGCAATGATAGCCAGAAAAGATACCATCCACATGAATGAGAACTACAGATGAGACTTCTTGGCCAAGTCAGAATTCTTTCCAGAAACATTCTTGAAAGAGTCTGCTTATGGGATTGCTGTACCACAGACGTCTGAAAATAATTACTCGTTAAAAGTCATCGGGCAGGTGGCAGCTGTATAATCCAGCAGTCAGTCCACAATATAATGTTTAGATGCATAATTGACAGCATAACAGCGGTAATTGTCACTTAAATTCAGAACACATTAACCATCATTATGCGTTATCCCGCAATAAATTGGGGCCATGCAGATTATTTCAGAGAATGCAGAGGGAAACAATAAAAGAACTGAAACAAAGAAACTGTTTCACATGTATCTTCTTTCAAAATGCTGTAAAAATGAGAAGCCATTCAATCACAGATGGGACAGGTGCAGGATTCAAACACTTATTTTACTTTAAGAAAGGATGCTCAATGGGCAAAATTCCAAATTATTAAAGAAGAAATGTAACATTACATCATTTGCTCAGATCCTCTACAGTGAATGGATGCCGTCAGCGTGAGAGTTTAAACAAACTATCACAATAATCGAGATGTAATCTATACAACTTCAGTCTATCAATTAATGTCTTGTGAAGCAAAAAGCAATGTGTTTGTAATAAAATACAGTTCTAAAGAAATATGTCTGTGGATTTTGATGTGAGAGAACAGAATGTTTTTTTTAACTGGAGGAAGCGTTATTATAATGCAAATTCATTCTTTGCCACTAGGTGCCGCTTTTGGGGCGGTAAAAGTAGCGGTTTCTCCGGCAACGCTGTACACAAACCAGTACTACGCTCACAAACGCTGCTTTATCAGGCATTACAGGCATGATGAAATGAAAATGAGACCAATCGGACCAATAACCGCAGATTAGCGTCATGCAAAGTAGGGATTTGGAAAAATTAATCGTTGAGCGAATGTTTGGGAGTCTTTGAGCAAGTAAGGTAAAAATAAATGCATATTATAAGACAATGAAAGTGTTTTTTGATCTTGCATGCATGTCAACCTGTTGTTGGGGACTCCCAAAACCAAAATATGAACCTTTCATAACCCATAA